ACACACACACACACACACACACACACACACACACACACACTAGAGGCAATATTTTGAGTGTGTGTGGCTAATGTTAAATCACAAAAAGGTACTGGAGTAAGAGGCAATTTGCAAAGTCAAAGTCACATCCTGGCATGAAAACCTGTTGTAACTGTAGCAGAACTTGCTGATAACAAACAGGCCACATCAGTCACTTCAGAATGCACAAATTAATCACCCAAAAGTCTCTCCTTTTGGTTGGGGTTTGCGGTTATTTTTAGTCGACGGAAAAGGGTTTCTCGCTTTGCTTTCTGTGCATTGCGGTGCTGCCGCCTGCCGGTAAGAACTGGACATTACCCTGGCATTTAGTGAGCCTCCAGAGCCCGTAAAAAACTGGCCCAGCCGCTGACATCCTCCCTTCGGAGCAGCCTCCAGCTGGTCTCAGGCACATTTCTGAGCTTTTCTGTAGTGGGAAAGAGTCAGACAACCAGTGACAACCTAAACTTGGTCTTTGAAATCCTACTGCCACGTGCTCAGTTGATCTTGGAAGTTCTCATCTTAGAATTTCCTTTGGTTAAGTCGCGAGCCAAAGATTCGTCTGCTTCTCAAGCTTTGAAGGGGGCCTCTGATGTTGAGCCGACCAGGCGGACACCTAGTCCTGCGACTTCTCTTCCTCTGTCTCCTGACTCCATTTCTATCACCTAACCTGGTCCACATCACCATCATTTCTGGGAGGCGTCCCCAGCCTGCTCACTGATGATCCTGCCCCACTTCCAAATCATTATCTACACTGAAGCCAGAGTGGGCTTTCTAAACTACAAATTGAATTGAGGTCACAGATAAGGTCCAAAGTCCTTAGCATGCCCCAAATGGCCTTCTATGGCTGGCCTTTTGTCTCCATGCTTCTGTATGACCTGCAGTTTCCTGAATAACTCTACAGTTCTCTTATTTCCACAGCCTCCTCTCCCTGCCTTCCCCATCATCACCTGGGTCCTATCTGTCCTTTAATACTCAACTCAGGTGCCACCCCCACCAGGAAGCCTCCCATGATGCTCTGGCCCCAGAGCTCTGGTGCCTTGTCACCATATTCTTAAGACCATATGTTGGCCATCAACTTACTTGTCCTTCTCCCCTTTAGACTATGAGTCCCTCAAGAACAGGTGCCATGCCTTGTTTTTCTTGGCTCCCCAAATAAAGCCCGACTCGAAATAATACGATCCAGCATGATAAGTGCTCTAGGAGCACAGGGACTCAGTGTTAAAGGAACCCAGGAGAGAGAGAGAAACTGGGGATAGAGAGTCCAAGAAACCTTCATGGAGAAGGTGGTAACTGAGTTGTCTTGAAGAACAGCTTGCATTCCATTAGGTAGAATCAGTGGAGGCCCCTCTGGACCAAAGAGGAAGTTTTTAAGATGGAGAAAAGGGCCAAAAGTTATTTTCTAATGTTCTCACATTTTATTTATTTATTTATTTGACAGAGAGAGACAGCGAGAGAGGGAACACAAGCAGGCCGAGTGGGAGAGGGAGAAGCAGACTCCCCGCGGAGCAGGAAGCCCAACGTGGGGCTCGATCCCAGGACCCTGGGATCATGACCTGAGCCGAAGGCAGATGCCCAACGACTGAGCCACCCAGGCGCCCCAAATGTTCTCACATTTTAATACACAAGAGAATCACCTGGGATCTGTATAAATTGCAAATTCTAGTAT